CCGGCCAAAAGGTAGATTTGATAAACTATTTATGAAACTACATCTATTCTGAATTTATCTGTTACAAATATACAAATGTAAGGCACGATATAAAAACGAATAAAACAAGAACATGTAAAAAGTAACATTAATAAAATGTCCATTAACGATGCATTTAGAATAAATTGTCTCGTAGTTAAGTGAAAAATATATACTTTTCCGTTTCATGTTTCATGACTATCATATTTATCCCTTAACCGTAAACTGAAGCATCGGATGTTTTTATTCCCGTCAAATCATGTAGATACACGCAATATGAATGGAATATATAACACTTCATTTGTGCTAATAATACTCAGAATTCATGCTTTATCGGCACGTCGGGTATTGACACTAAAATGGTAAGGGGGCTTCTGACGTCCTCGAGGCATGGGACAGAAAATTACACTGCATGTTAGGTCTATTCTTATATCTCGTCTGTGGTAATACTATCGATACTAAAATCCCTCAGCGGATGACTTCTTTCTTGAGTCTAAACCTATAAAAACCAAGTACCCTCGTCGGATATCTGCGTTCTTCAGCTTAGAACTATTATCTTAACCCTTTCAGACCTGGTGATCACATTTGTCTAGATGAACTTTCTTACAAAATTTTTTTTTTCAAAAAAATATCTAAACAGCCTACTGAGTTAAAATGTGTAAACAAATATTTTTTTTACTCTTAAAAGGAAATACAAGTCTGAAACGGTTAATACCTCATATTCAATAGTGGAGTCCATATTAATCTTAATATGTACTGACATACTATTGAATATAATCCTATGTAACACTTTGAAATTTGGAATAAGATTGGAATATTGCATGTGCCGGTATTACAAATTCCTAGAGCCACTACACCAACACAGTTGCTTGCATACCTATAGGCTTCAATCATCAAATATCTCCGGTAGATGGCAAATACGATATCTACGTCTCACGCGATTTCGAATTGTAATTCTAGTTCTGCTGGAAGAGTGCGGTGTATCGCAAGTCCTCCAAACGAATAAGGAAAATACATTAAATTGATATTGAAAATACTATAATATTTCAAAAATACATCCACGCAAAAAACATTCCCGCGTACTTAATACCTATCCCAATCTTTTTTTCTATAAAATTTCGTCTCTCATGAAATCCTTCATAAAGTTGTGGAAGTCCTTTACTTTTCTCCGCGCCACTTTTTCCACGGACTTATATACGTACGGAATCAATCGTCGTACTGACCGCTACAGAATGACTAACTCTCCTGCGATGTATAAACAGTGCTTTATTCGTAATTCGACATTGATAATATTCGTAGATTCGCGATTTACAGCAATACGATCACGCAAACAATTGGTTTGCTTTCACGCGACCGAACGATCCGGCGTATTTGGACTTTGAGGATCGTTCATCATCGTACGAGAAACATCGTTATTGTCGGCTATAACGATTTTCGTGGTAACGTTTAAGCGTATATCGTTAAGACTTTCTTCGACCGTTCCCCTCTTCTTTCACATCCCGTTTCTCTATTCGTTATTCCTGTATGTCTCTCTGGATCGAGCAACTTAACCAGTGTCGGACGTGCAGGACGAGGTTTCGGCGTTACTGTGATCGTTGTTGCTCTCCGTCGATGAACTATCGTTGCTCTTTATGCGTCGCTTCCGCAGCTTCGCAAACTGAAACTCCTCGACCGGCACTGTACACCAACAATTCAAGTCGTCATTAGTTTCTCGCGAAATCGAACGGTTGATTTTGGGGACAGGGGACGTTCGTGTATGCCCGAAAAATCGGGAAATAAAACGAAGCAACTGCGTCTAGCGGGATCAGAACGATAAATATCTATATTTCATTGAGCGTTTCCGAAGCTTTCATTTCATTACAGTGTCGACACTCTTACATTACAGCCACGGTATCGAACTCGTTTTAAATAATCGATTTTTCAATATTTCTCATTAGGTTCTATCGGATCGATCAAACTATGGCTGTAACATGTACATGAGATATACTCTTAATTTCTAACGAAGATTGACGTGCAGTAACGTGTTGATTACTTATTCCTCTCAATAACAGTTCTTAAATTCTTTTGGGTTTACATAAGATTCGCTGACATTTCTATACATACTTTAGATCAATGTACAGCCGCTTTGAAACAAATGCTACGTACGTATAACTGGATATCGAAGACCTAGCCGTGAATCATTTTATGGCCAAAACTGCTCGTTATTGTACGCAAAATCGTCAATTATATCGTCTTCCTATAATAACTTATTCGTCGAAATCGTGTAACATTTTTTAAAATGCTTGCATCACCTTGAGAGGAACTAATATAATTGAAATTGACTCGGAATAATCACTCTATTCCGTCCGTAATTATAATATGACCGGCTACATTAGTCAAATAAATAGAAGAAAAAGCATTACTATAAAAATATATAAATCTCAGTAACATCTCGTCTCGTCGGACAAACGATGTCTTAATAACAGTTTTGTTTTGAAATAACCAAGTAGGCTTTACGACAGAAGCAGTTAAAGACATTTTAATACTTCAACAACGAACAATTTGTCCGAGATTCAAGTGAATTCATTGTACAATAATACAATAGCTTGTAGATCAAGTTTGATTACCATCAGAATCTGGATCTCGGTCAGTAACATTTTGAGGTGTGGTTGGTAATGGAACTATTTCAGGTTCGAGTGGTTTTACAGGGCAATCTACATCCTCGACAATTACTTCTTCCGCCAAGCTGCTTCTCACAGCCTCTGTAACAACAAACAATACACAGCGTATGAACCATGTATTACATATCGTATTCTTCAAAAAATAATTGTTCATCTACCATTGAATGCTTGAGGGTATTGTTGACTTAGTTTGGTCTTCACAATGCGAATCCTTTTAAAAATATAATCCAGATCTTTTTTCATTTCAACCAGCAGAGCTGTGTGCTTTTTAAATTCCACCCCGGCGGTCTTTAATCTATTTATCGACAACTGATTGCAATTGGTCAACATCTCATTGGTCTTCTCAAATCTTTGCAACCTGTAGTGTGACAATACAAGAAATGTCAAGCAACGAAACGTCATGGGTATAGACGTCGCAGATATATAGAGTTGTTGTAAATTAATACATCGAGCGGCAGAACAGATTGATGCCGCGGCCGTATACTATTACACGTATATATATAGTCCATTTACTACCTGGGTAACTGTAAATTCCGTTTAATGTTTGGAATATTCGAAAGAATTATAATTTTTCGTAGACTTTTGTCAACAAGAAAAAAACTGTCAGAAGTATTTTGAGTCCGAAGCGACATTTACTTTACTCCTCGACTGATTTTTAGAACCACGTTATATCTCTACGACGCCTATACTTTATAAACTTGAAAACTTGTAGATTCATACATTTGCTTCTGAGCCCTGATCATAGATTCTACGTCCTGTTGGTCGACGATACCAGCCAAACCCTGTATGAACACCTCCGGGGCTGTATAATTTTGGAAGCATTCGAAGCTTCCTGTATCCGATTCCGGAGTGCCCTGTGCTGTTGCCATTTTCTCAAAGCTTTATTCCTCGCAACAACGACACTTATCCGCGCGTAATTTCATTGTAACCACCTCTGTTCGTTTCTCTCCATCCTGACGTAACTGTTTCCTCTTGATATGCATTCATCGCGTTCATCGTATTGATTTTGAACAACTAACACTGGTACTAACGCAAGTTCATAGAAAATTAACAATCAACCATCGAACGTATGTAACTAGTCTTATAAACGATCGAGCACACTGCTGTCTTGTCACTGCTGGTTACCCGACGACATACTTGCCGCCAGATCCACATTATCCTAAACTCTAAACCGACGTTACGTTGTCGAGTGTGCGTGAAGATAAACGACGAAATGTTTCCGACACAGAACCCGTAGTGTCTCTTCTCCTTATTTGCTTGATTGGAATCGAGTTTATCTTCGAGTGCAATAGACTCGTCGGAACAAACAGCACGCTTCACCTTCAACAGCTGTTTGAAGTCAAATGTTTTTACGTGGGTTCATAGCAGCTTCAGCATTCAAATTTCTACAGTGACTGTTGTGCCTCGAACTGAAGCTCTGAAAATCTCGCGTGAGGAAAAAGAACTCCTTAAGATCTATCCGCGGGCATTTTTCGACCCAAAATGGCACAGAACATAAATCCATTCTATTCGTCTCAGAATGCGCCGAGCAAAGCCACCGAGGAAAAGCAGAGTATACCGAAAGACAACCATGCAGTTAGTAAACGGTGCGTAAACTCTATCTGATATTTACAAGAGGAACTGTCGATTGAATTTACACTAAAATCCGTTTTCTCATTATTCATTCGTGCGTTATTTTTCACGTCTCGTCATGAACTTGTTGCAACAAATGCTTTTCGTTCTACTGTCGAATATAACCTAGTCATAATATTTAGACGTAAAATGAAAAATTTACTCGATCCTTAATTCTAAACACTTATGATCGCGAATATAGTTTATAGTAGAGTTATTTGAAAGTAGTTCCTGCTCCTTCCATTTACAAAAATGTAATGTGTATTCGTAGACTACAGAAAGAACTTATGGTCTTGATGATGTGTACGGAAAAAGGTGTTTCTGCTTTCCCTGATGGAGAAAATTTGTTTAAATGGATTGGAACTATCACAGGACCAAGAGACACGGTAATGAGTTTTTTTTGGTTATCATCACAGAGGTAATAAGTATGATAAATATCTTAAACTATCTTCATTAATGTTATAGGTTTATGCAGGCCTTACGTATAAGTTAACTTTGGAATTTCCTCATAGTTATCCATACAGTGCTCCAATAGTACGCTTTGCCACCCCATGTTTTCATCCAAATGTAGATGCAGTAGGTAATATTTGTTTGGACATATTGAAAGATAAATGGAGTGCTTTATACGATGTGCGTACTATATTATTATCTATACAGTCTCTCCTTAGTGGTAAGCATATTTATATTAAATTTATGGAAAAATATAAATGAACTTCTGAAAGCACAAGCACTACTTTACTTTGCAGAACCCAACAACGAAAGCCCACTAAATCCTCAAGCAGCCAAGTTATGGAGTGATCAAACAAAGTACAAGAAACATTTGACAGAAGAATATAACAGAACTTTGATTCGTGACCAGCAAGACTCATGATAAGTCTATTTTTATAAACGCCATGGCTGAGTTAATATTTTCATTTGCATCAGCGTTATTATTAGATTTAAGGCATAAGAGGACCTGTTGCACCAAACTTACACATTTACATTACAAGAAATTCGATGTTTCTGCCCTGTTTTTCCTTCTCTTTCTCTTTTTTCTTCTAATCGATGTATTGTATCGCGCAAATGAAAATGATAATCATTTTTTACATCGTTCCATTACGATCATTTTTGTTTCATAACTTTCTGGATATGCCGGAAAGATGAATAGAAATTTGTATCATGCTTTTAAGACTGTATATGCGGATTAAAGATTTTTGCATCGTCAGTTCGTACCAGACACTTTTATTTATTTTTTACTTTTAGTAATATATTTTGACTCTTCTATATATTTTACCATTTTTCATACGTATTACTACACTTGATATGACATCATTTATCATTATTGTATAATTCGAAAATAAATATTTTAAACATTACTCCTCTATATTTCATTATATTCATAGAAAATATTCCGTAGAAATTCGGTGTATTAGTCTCTTAGCTCGTTTCAAATATTAACAAATACCACTTGCTTTATCGGGCACCGTGAACATTTTATCATCAATTTTCCTACAAAGAACACGTTAATTTATATTATATTTTCGAGCACAATGTTCACTGTAAAAGTTCAAATTCGTACCAAGCTAATAAGCTGTCATTTAATGCTTGCCTTGGAAGAACATTTGCAGTGAATTTAAATGTCTAACATCTGTAAATAAAATAATGCAGGTAAGCCCTTTAAAAAACGGTCATAGTTTCTAATCGAAAATATATAACGGGAGACTGTAAATTTCTCTTTTCATAGGAAGGAAAAGTTCAGGTGGATGCGATAAAGATTAATTATACAAAAGTGAGTACCAAGAATGATGCAGTTATTTTATTACCGAATGCATTCGGATAAGCGTAGCGAAACAAAACCACGTAATTGGTAATTCAAGGAAATATTCATCGTCTTTCCTATTGTTCTGCAGCAATTGCCGAGACACATTTCAAGAAACAAATGAAAAATTCAAGAATCAAAAAATACACCGAACAGGACATTTCCAAAGAACTTTTTGCAACGCAAGGCAATGTAGACATGCAATTTTATGAAAAAATTACGCTACCAATGTTTTTTAATGATAAGATGGTGCCTGGAGTGGATGAATTGAATTTAATCTTCGATACTTTCAACGTTCTCTCAGTGAAATCTTTATGATACTCGTACGTATTAGTTCCCGTCGAACATAAGTTTTAAGTGTCTCAAAGTTTTCGTAATATTTGTGTGCCTCAGGTCTGAAGAATATCTATCGATGATTCACGTGTAGAGAGAAGAATATTTCCATAGATTATACTGATGAATACGCGCGACAATTGTATAATGTATGCGATATTTAGCATTTACTGAATCGTTCATTAAATATCTGTATAGATTTATATATCCTACAGAAAGTGTTTCACAATTTTGCAATGTACATTTTCCGAGTTTTAGTCGTAATATTCTTTTACACCAGACGATGAACGAATCTTCGCGTGAGCAATGAATTCCCGATAAGAGTCTGACAACGTATAGTTTGTATAGAATAATAAAGATAAACATATACAAATATAAGTCGGTTTTACAGTCGATCAGTTTCGACCTAACGGGAAGTGGGAGCAGTGAGAGCGCGCTCTTCTAGTGTAGTACTGTATCTGGTGATCTTGGAAAGGAAGCCATATCGGGTACTCAATAACGATCAACAATCTCGCCAACCATGTTAGTGACATTCTTACGAAATTTTACGAATAAAGTATCGATCCGTTTTATTCGTATCGAAATATTATCGAACGGTTGCAAATCGTTCTCTTCGATGGCAAAAGCTCACGATGCAGAGGTATGTACTACATGTTTACGTGATACAACAAATAAACAATTACGGTGCACGTGAATATCTATGAATAAAAAGTTTCGGTTGGCGAATTGTTTGATAGGAACAAAAAATTAACGTCAACGGGGTTGATATCAATTACCTGAGGGTCGGAACCGGTAATCATCCCGTGTTACTTCTACCCGGTGCCTTGGGTAAGCAACATTGTCAAAAAATTAACACGTCTAATTCGTGAACCTTGCCCAATGACCGTTTGCTAGTCGCACGGCAAGAGTGCTGCTATCTGTCGTGATTTACCCGCTTTAAGATAACTGAGTCTTACTCTGCTGTCGTTGCAATAAGAATTGCCACTTCGTATATGATATTTCCTATCTACGCGTATTGTGTACGAGAATAAACAGAAGCAATAAAATTGTAATATATGCTTGAACTACTTACAAAATGTTGATTAATAAAAGAATCCCCAAAGATGACGTACCTTTCGCGATTCATGTCTTCGTATATGTTTTTGTTATTCGTAAACTAAATTAACACATCCTCAGACGTCAAGTGTAACCAAACAAAACGGGCATTGTACAAAAACACTCGGCCATATAGGCAGTATTTTAAATACATACGGATAAAAATAAACTCCAGTGTAGAGCTGCATCGAAATACAATGTAAGTTATCGTGTCGCAGGCTCAATTTGGACAGACTTCAAGCCTCAAATAGAGGGTCTCGACCGAGGAAAGTTCACCGTGGTCGCGTGGGACCCGCTCGGCTGTGGAAAGTCCAGACCACCGGATAGAACGTTCCCGGACGATTTCTTTCAGCGCGACGCCGCTCATGCTTGTAATTTAATGAAACTTTTGGGCTACCCACGTTTCTCGCTGGTAGGATGGAGCGACGGCGGTATTACATCGTTGATGCTCGCCGCGATGTTTCCCGAGAACGTTCAAAAAATGGTGTCCGTTGCAGCGAATGCCTATGTTACACCGGAAGAACTTGAAATTTATCAGAGTACAGTCGAATCATGATTTCTTTTACTCGTGTCGCTTCGAATCGAAGGTGTATAAGACAGTTTGTTTACAGAATACAGAAATGTGGACACTTGGTCGGAGAAGATGCGAGCACCGATGATAGCGATCTACGGGGAGGAATACTTTCGGAAGACCTGGTCCGATTGGGTCGAGGCGTTTTCACGGATTTCGAAAAAACAGAACGGTGATCTGTGCAGGGACATGCTCCCAAAGATCCAATGTCCGACACTGATCGTTCAAGGATCGAAAGATCCGATGGTTGTCGCCGAGCATCCACTCTATTTGCAGAAACACATAACCGGGGCAAAGTTCGTATCCAGTAACGTAGCGAAACTCTTACGATTTTTCGAATCCGAATCACGCAGAAATTTAATGCTTTTCAGGTTGAAAATCTTCGAGAACGGTGCTCACAATCTACACTTACGGTATCCCAAAGAATTCAACGATCTGGTTACCGAATTTTTAATCGAATAATCGCCGACTATAACAAAACATACCCGTACGCATTGGTTCGTACTGTGAATTCTATGTATATACGTGTATAGTTTCGTACAGGAATTCGACATACCTTTGTCGACTGTATCAAAGTGTCGCGCATTGTATAAAAACATTTATATTGTAATATACGTTTCCAATACTCCGAATGACAGTTCCTAATCGGGTGCTTGTTACCGAGTATTTGAATAATATTTGTTTTACGGCAAGGCACACTAAATGCATGAGGGGGCATTGTGGACGCACGTGGGTTAAACCGGCACCAGAACCGAGCTGGGCGAAAGGAGTTACGACCATGTGTGGGCGACCAAGTCCTTTCGTGGATCCGTTTTCTTCGATGAGTCTTTCCGAAAATGTTTTTAGCTACTGTGTTTACAATAAACGATATAACTTCATATTTTATTGTTTGTTTAATACGAAAATGTTACCGTTTAATTGGAAAAATCAGCCTACCACGATGCATTTTGGCGAAGAGAAGTCTATTCGTTACAGATAATAATTTTCCAGTTCCAAACCAAATCGAGGAACCAGTGACTAGAATATAAAATGGTTCGATTCACGTGGACATCGAGGACCGCCCATCTCAAATATCCGCATTGCGCTTCGGACGAAAATCGATCCCTCAGCCTCGTCTCGGCTACGCCCCAAAAGCTCCATTCGCCAGGATACGAAACTACGCGCAATAACGTACAATATTTCATTTATTCTGTATCTCTTCGTGGAAAATTTTACGAATGAGTCACTGGTAAAGCACTACTCGATAATGTCCATTAAACCTCCCGTAGACAATGTGGATCGATGACGACTCAAGGAAAATTTCATTTTTCCCTGATTTTCCTCCGAATTTTTATTTTTATTGAAAAAAGCTTCATAGATTCGACTTATTAATTTTTGCAGATTTTTTGAAGGCTTAAAACAATGAAAAAAATTAAGTTTAAACATAATCATCCTACTTCTATAACAAGATTCATAGCCCGTTTCAGATATCTTCTTTTCCCTCGCGCTTGTAACACACCAGAGGACACACCCTAAAAAAATTTGAACCGAAATCGGAGCATCGAATCGAACGAGTACGACGCCAAAGTTGAGCGCACAGTCTCTGCATCGAGAAATTAGCTGCTCGCGGATAGAAAGTGGTCTTGTGCCACTTATTATGCGAGCCTCCTTAAAAGTCGAGATGAAACACGGTACAAGAACGAACAGAAGCCCCCGCAGGAGTGTTCGAGGAACACTTGCCCGCGAGCTTTTGCCCTGTCTGAACTCGAACCAATTAAAATTGCACGAGGTAAAAGTGTTAGGAAGCTACAATAAACCTGCGTAGAATACATGACTTAGATTGCGGATTTTTTATGCAAATATATCATTTAGGTGGATTAATTTCACGAAACTGAACGGAATGAAAAATTTATTTACCTTGTCAAAGATGCTGGTAGGTTCGAAATGAAAAGGAAACCTCGATAAACTTATCGGAAATGTTTAGTACACTGTATGTTAAAAGATCGAATATTCTACAATATTATGTACTACAAATTATACAATATAATGTTCTACAAATTAAGTACTACAAATCATAGAATATAATGTTCTACAAATTATACAATATATTGTCCTACAAATTATATATAAATGCATAAAATCCGTAGTCTATTCATGATTCATGACCCCCTGAGTAACCCGTGTGAAGTTGACTACGCTTGACACACAACGGCGAATACTCATGCGAATACAAAATATCATTTTTTCCGGGGAAAATTACCTTAATTTTTTCGAGCCTGTAGAACGAAAATATATTAATTGCATGCGAATAATTCGAATATTGTTAACTTTCATGCAACAATTTGGCCCGATTTTTATTGTCACGAACGTCAGTATGTTCCGAAACGAATAAAAAGGGTTAACGCGTATAATGCAGCGGGTGCGGCCAAATATGGACAAGACCGGCTCGCGATTTGATCACGTAAACCTGTCCTTGTTCTTTTCGTCCTTTCCTCTGACCCAATCCCCTCTCTCAACAGGAGTGCATCGTCGAGCACAGTCGAACTTTTGCGAACACACGTAATCTTTACCACTGCAGAGGTTATGTACAGAAACGTAATGGAATTTCGTAGCGGGGTACGGATAACATAACTCTTTTAACGCGAAGGAAAGACCATCTGGTCGCGCAACCAATTAAATCGATTGGCATGCGCACGTTTGTTATAGAAGGATGTTTCTTTACTGACAGGAACAAATTGGGAGCGATTCTACGCGATATATATGCATAGAATCCAACGGCTTGGGTAAAAATACATATTTATGTACCTACATACGCGATCGTACGTGACAAGCGTGAAAGGACGATTCTTTCCCCCGTGGTCGAAGCCAGACTTCACTGGATCCTACGGAACGATGTCGCACAGAAACATTTTCCTCGAGATAAACACTTTTTATCTCGTAGGTGAATGCTTCTCCCGTTATGGTGATACGATGGCTCGTCGCGATGATATCATCACGAGATGTTACTTAATATCTGTCAGAAAATTCAACGTCTTTGGGATACGGTACAGGTTAGCTTTCAGCAAAACACTTTCTGTAACCGTGAGCATTTGGTGTGGGGAAAAACAGAGGAGGAAATTGAATGGGATAGTTACGGAGCGAAAAGGGAAGAAATTGCGATTAAGAACGGGAGACGAAAGGAAGAGCATCGTGTGGTGAGTCACAATCAGATTTCGTGCCTACACCGTTATCGACTCTCGGTTCTCTTCGGTCGCAGCTTCGTCGCGCGGGTAACCCGGCGCGTATGTCCTCCAAAGTAGAGAAAACGGCACCATTTACGGTAGCTTGCGCCTCTGTTGTTGTTGACGATCCTTTTCGATCCCGTGTCTCGTTTCGAGATCGTTCGAGAAAGTGGTCGTGCGTCAAAATCTTGGCCTCGATACACCCCTTGTCAACGAATAAAAAACGTGTCGACTACATATACTGGTATCACCGAAATCGTATTGTACAACCGCGGACTAACCTAATCTGGAATTCTACAATGTTCATGTCTCTACGCGCTACGTTTAACACTGGAACCATCAGCGTTGAATGTATTCCAAATTAAATTCCGTAATATATCGATATCTATAATATATGTATGTATAGTACACGTATAGCATAATATAAGGTAATGTAAAATATACAATAAATTAAAGGTCGACATGAATATCGACAAAAGAAATTTTATGAGTCGAGTAATTGTAAATAACAAACCTGAATTGCGTCATTTTGAGGGGTTTGGTAGTTCTACTAGTGTTAAAGGGGACGATAGAGAGTATGTAGCTACGAGCGTGCTCGTTTGAAGATGTACGAGTGTACAAAATGTGTACCCGTAGCGCCTCGTGCCACCTTTGAGCCTAGTAATAATTCCAGTAATTGAGACGCGTCGACAAGGATATACTCTTGCGGAAATATTTAAACGTATCCGCCGTCGTGCACGACATCCTCGGGATCAATAAAACTGCGGCGGGGCAAGGCCTGAGCCCTGCTCGCCCCGTTCCAACTCGGTTCTCTCGAATCGTTTTGTTGACGGGTGTACACCTTCGAAACGCATCGACTATCTGAACTGTTTCGATAGATAGAGAGATCGATAGTGATCGATTTCGTAGAAACGATCGAATCGGAAAGGTCCAATCTGTTCCAAAGATTTATTTTATTTTAATGTTTGTCTGATTTTTGTGAACATGTATACATTTTTTTTCGCTTGCATTCTAATGGGAAATATTCCATAAAATAAATAAATAAATAAATAAATAAATTTATCCTCGGAATTTCAGGAATTGATTCCTCTATCGAGTACAGCAGTGACGTTTGCAAATTTTTTTTCCACCAACACCACAACAAAATGCGTTGTTATGTCGTGACTCAACTGTCCCGTTCTGACATGCGTACAATATGTTGCGTCCGTTGTTTGTAAATGGTCAACGCCCATCCTTTATCACGGCAATTATAACAACGTGACGAAATTTTGAGCGGTCGCGAATTAAAGATATTACATTTTTCTCGAGAATACCTGCACAATAGAAGTTGAATTGGCTGGCAATGATTTTCCCTTGTCCCTTACGAAACAAAGCCGATAACGAGATTATTTTACAAGCATCTTCGTCCGAACGAGACAGTGGTTCGAGCGAAGAATATAACCTAGTTTTCGCGACGATAAAGTGGATATCGGTGATCTGTATAGATCAGTCGTTTAATTGCTAATTGCAAGATACGTCCAGACTGAAAGACGGTAACAGGCCGAACCTTCTTATCTTTATTCCGGTTTCGGTTTCTCTAAATTGGACGTGATGTCACCGAGCGTTTACCGGCCGACTCGTATAATGAGACGTCCAACGAAGGACAATGAGAGTGGTAGATGTAATCTAGTCGAGCGTATCCTCTTGAATCGATACCGTGACACGTACAAGAAGAGACTTCTATTCGCGTTGCTCTGTCCCACGAATGCTGCTGTACACCGGCGAAAGTTTTAATTCCCTAGAATCGCGACCAGTGTTCACGATTACGTGTACACACGGTCCATGTAAGAAAAAGAGCAGATATTCGAACGAACAGTCCATGTCCTCGGATAGTCCATGATTTGTTAAGGAGCAAACAGATTCCCCCAAAAAACACACGATCTGTTACGCAACGCACTGAACACGTTTGTGCACTGTTCCTCTCAAATGGAATTTACGTCGATAATAATTATGATCCCCCGTTGCGGTCGGCCCGTTACCGGGCAGCCCACTGCGACGCGTGTCTATCAGTCCGAGACTGTTTTTTCGTGTCTGTTCCTCCTTCTATAGTCTATGTATATATGAACAGGCAGCAACAGAACGTGCATAGTACACAGACGCGGAGATACGCGCGCGGGCGGGCGTCTACATGATCGCGAGTGATTTTTTTTTCGGGACGAAGAGTGAGTGATCCATACATGGTAACGGCGAGAAGACTGGCTTACACGTTGCAACGCGTAACCAACTCTACCTACTTTCCTGTCTCTACTCGTTCATGCACCGAGTTGCTCGGACACATCCCGTGTATTCGCTGCCAACCATACGTATGGTCGTTTCTATGTACTCTTCCTACGTTTAGCTCAAACACACACCTCGCACACTAATGAACAAATTTTTATAACTGCCTAACTGACCATTCAGAAACGACGCATTAAAAAGCAGACTAGAACATATACTAGTCCTGTAAACAAATATTATGCTAGACTAAAATAATTTACTATCGAACGACTGATTGGTAATATTTTTAAATTACTGGAAAGTATTACGGAACAGCCTTTAATGCAGTCCACGCATTATCCGTTGCGTAGTTAACGTCTTGG